ATTTAATTATTAATTTTAGGAAATTTGTTAGCCTTTTTATAAAGTTTAATAACGTTTTCTTTAATAATTTTAATTATCTTAATAATTTCCTTATAATGTTCGAAATTTTTATCCTCTTCACTATTTAAATATACGTTATTAGCTACTTTAACAGCCCAGATAGTAATTTTAAAGCCTTTACCTATATAAATGTTAATCTAAATATAGAAGCATTTACTTAGCAATTTCTTATGTTTAGCGCCCTTACTTACTATAATTTCCTTTATTATTTCCTCTATTAATAAATTTATTAATAATCCTAATCCTAATTTTACTTCTATCTATCCTATCCTTACCCCTCTATCGATAACGCCTTTATTATTTTCTTACTCTTCAAAATTTAGGACGCCTCCCTCTCCTTCTTTAGCCCAGGCTTCCTCCTCCACCCTAGCTTCTTTAATAATTTCTTTAATCTCCACGTATAATGTCTGGAAAGCCTGTAGTTTATATATTTTGTACAATTAATTAAAATTTACTATATTAAAATTTTTAATATCGCTTAAGTCAATAAGGTCGTTCGAATAATAGGTTCAGCAGATTAGGGTATAATAATCTGTGCTGGACTTCCGTACTCCGGCGATTTGGTAGTAAACTGCAGGTTTAATAATCGATTAAGTAAGTTTTAAAATAGCGGGAAGTTTTAAGGTAATAGGGGGATTTAGGGCGGGCGTCGGGGTATTAAAGCGTGCTTAATGCGTTTTTAACTTCGCTAATTGTTATTTCACTATTCTTTTTATTTATTAAATAGGTACGAAATAATTAACGGTCGTAGGGTCGAAATCTTCGATAATAATAAATTTAAAATCTTCTTTATCGTCTATCTTTTATAACGGGGCTATTACGTAGTCAATAATTTTAATATAATATTAACGGTAATCTTATACCTTAAATATTCGTTGAAGGGTAATTAGTAAATTTATTAGTAAATATCGACCGGCGTATTCTTTTATAAAAGTAATTGAACTATCCGGCTACGAAATTACAGGATTATAGTATTTGAATTAGGGTATACCGAAAATAATGGAATAATCGGCTACTAAATCATAAATTAATAATAAAATTATTTCTATATAGAATCCGACTTTTAGCTGGGCCTAGTCATATTCGGTAATTAATCCCTTTAGTATTCTGTTAATAAAAAATAGTACCTTTAATTTAAGTAGCTTTAAAAGAGGTATAGTATAGTTAAGCGTGCGGTAAAAGTACGGTCGATGAAGGCGAGCGCGGAGTACCCGCTATTAATTAGAGTAGTATATCTACTTTTAATATTGTGTAGTCTATAAATGATATAAGTAGAAAGGAGAATAGAATTATTATTATAGTTATTTAAAATCGAATTCTTCAACTAAATTACTTTTAAATTTATTAAATCTATTTCTTCCTTTTCTATTATTGTTATAAACGACGGCTTCTCCGTACGATTTAATAGGGAACTACTATATTTCCCGCGCTGTACTTAGTAGCGGGGGTAACTGGGGTTAGAGCGGCTATAGCGGCGAGAGTAACGGGAGCGGTGGGAGCGGCCTTTTTAATACTTATAGTATTAATGTAGGCGGCGTTATTATAGCTAGCCTAACCTATAGTAGGTTTAGCGGCGCCGGCATTACTATTACTATTACCGCAATTGCAATTACCATAATAATTCCTATTTCTTTCGGTACGAATGATACTAGTATTAATATTATTATAATAATTAATAGCCTAGTAACCCTCCCTACGGTAGCGCTTACAAAAGTTATTCTAAAAGTAATAATCGAAAATAGCCTTATCGATTATTTTAGTTAATAAAATGTTAAGAGCGGTTATAGCGTTAATGTCTATAATATTACTACTTTAAATAATAATATATTTGGTAGTAGAAATATTACTTCCTCCTCTATTAATAGAACTATTCTTATAAAAATGAATAGTGTTCTAATTATACTAATTATAATTTTTAAAATTAATACCGAATTTATAATAAAGTGTAAATTATTTTTCGTAAATATTAAGAGCGGGAAGGTCTTACTAATATGCAATTGCATTATAAATATCGTCGGTAACCTTTATTTTAAAGTAATAGGTCTTTATAATATCGTTTAAATTGTATTAATTAATTAAGGTAGTGAATTGATCTTTGAAATTAAATTACTTTTATCCCTTACGTATCTTCAAATTTTCAAATTTATAACGCAACTCTAAAGTTAAATTTATATAATCGTACTTAATATTTAAATAAGCGAAGAAATCTTCGCCAATTTTCTACTTCCTCTTATCCGCATCAGCTTCCTTTAATAGTAGTATAATATAAGGGGATAAAATATAAAAAGTAACGCTATTAAAATATTATATAATTTAAGTAAATTTAAAACGCTTATTGGAATTGAAATACTATAAATCTTAGAATTAATAAAATTCTATTTTAGCCCGTTAAATATAATAAAATTCGGTACGTTTAATTATAATACTACCTTCGCTAATAAAAGCCTTAGGGTCTTTACTAATTTCCGATTTAAGGGTAATAGTAATAAATATAGCACCGTTATTATTATTATTTAATAGAGGGATAAATTCGGGAGGGATAACTTTTAAGCAAATAATTTTCTTAAAGTCCTTAATAATATTATTGTTCTCCCTAATCTTAGAAATAACATCTTTCTTAAATTTATTTTATATATCGTTAACGTCGTTAAAGGAAATATTAATATCGATGAAATTACTCTAAGTAATTGTAAATTACTTCTCAAAGTAAGTGACCTTATCGTTAAAATTATTAATCGTAGCGTCCTTATTAGTAAGGGCGTCCTCCGCGGTAGCGGCGAAAGTATTAGCTTTAATTATATCCTTATAAATAAATTAGACGAGCGCAATAATTACGTGAAGGAAGGCAGCGTAGCTAGCAAACTATAAAGCGAAATCAAAAACAGATTATTCAATTAGGTTGCCCGGGTCTAAATAATTGTTAAAGGCCTCAGTATCATTCTCGAATAATTATTCGTAAGTAGAGTCGATAATTGAACCAATAGTAGAAATCGCGACGTCGATATTAGTAACGGATGATATTAATTAACTCGATTAATTTAAATAAAGTAAAATATTACTTTATAATTTAGGGAATAGAAAATACGTTATTTTATAAGCGCTTCTTAGGGAGATCGCAGTACAATCTTAGTATTCATACTATTACGGTACGATAAAGCTCTATCGCAATATAATAAAGGATCGCGGGTACGTCAGAAAATTTTACGACGGCGGCGATAGATTTAAATAAAATTGTACGTTCGTAGCGTAATAATAGGTATAATTAATTATGATAGGGTAAGGCGACGGTTGGGAGGTAGGTTGGATATACGTAACTATACGAGGAGAGAAAAGGAGAAGTGTATAGAGGTCTAGCGATATAGGGTAGGGCTGAGCTATACCTAGAGCCAGACTTGTACGTATATATGTACGTGATGTGCTATTAGCTAATAGCGGCAATAGTACAACACGAGGCTCGACTACCTATAGCAGGAGCCGTGCATGTACAAGGCAGTTATAAGTAATCCTGTGACAGTATATTAGGTGCGGTAGGCTAGCTATTATGTTTAATAAACTTATAAGTCGAATTAATTAGCCTTTAATAATTTTTAGGTCTTCCCTAATAATTTTTAAATTTTCCTTAATAATATTTAGGTTTCCTCCGATGAATAATTTTATAGGGAAATGGAGAGGAGATATGGAGAAAAAGATAGGGGTATAGATATATGTATAGATATATAAATTTACTTTAGAAATGAATTTATTTTAATATATAATTCGGTTAATAATTTCTAAGCTTAGTATATAATCCTTCGATTAGATATATAATACTATAATAGGAAGTTATTAAATTAATTTCGTAAGAAATAAAATTCTTCTAACGTTATATACTCCGGGTAAATTTCTATAAAAAGTTATATAGAATATTGGCGAAATTAAATTATTATAATTAAGCCGTTACTTTACTTTATTATTTAAAATTCTTTATATAGTTTCTATTCTATTTTAAACTATATAGATATACCTTCGCGTATTAGATTTAGAAGGATTTTATCCTTAAACTTCTACTAGTAAAATATATTTGCCGTAAGTATATTATAGAATTCAGCCGCTTCGTAATAATATATATTGCGTTCGCTATTATTGTGAAGGTATTCGTTGTTAAATATTCCTACCCCGTTGCGACGGATATATTATACGGTATTGTAGCGGTCTTTAACAAGTATTTTAATTTATATTAAGTATATAATAATTTATAACCCCCTAATAGTTAATTCGTCTTTTAAATAGCCTATACCGTACGGACTAATTTGAATTTTTAATTCCCGGGAATAATTTTACTCAGTCTTTTTAATAGGGGCTTTCCGCCTAATTACCTTAATTTAGTACCCCTTTACCTTAGGACTAGGTTTATTACTAGTACGTTCGTTATTAGAAGATAGCGGTAGGAGAATTAGAGGCGGCGGAGGAATTAGAAGTACTACTACTGGTAGAGGTCGATTTATAGTAATAGAACCTCAATACTACATAACGATAACGACAACGACGAATTCTATTAGTTTATTGGTATAGAGGAGAAAGCAGGGGGGATTCAAGGTATAAAAATTAGGGCATAAGAATTAGGGCATAAGAATTAAGGCATGGGAGGGTGGGGCATTTAAATTTACCCTCCTTTATAGAGGGTACGGTTGGTATATATATTATACTATGCTATTATACTATCTGTACTTTATAACTATTTCTACCCTTTGCCTAACCGGATCTCAATTTCGCGAGATAATACGGTATACTAAGTTATGGATGATGACCAATCTCTGTCCGTCCGTTAATGCTTTGCATTGTATGTAATGCAGGGGTGCCGAAACAGTATCACTCAGCAGATACCTACACCGATTCCAAAATGAACAAACATGACCGATGAAGCTTTCAGTTCGTTCTTTGAAATCCACAACACACATATTTTAAGATATGATGCTTGTTGGGTATCCGTTCGCATTCAAATATTTCGCGTGCTATATATATATATACTGCAAGTTCTAGAAGATGCCCCACATTATGTCGTCCCATCTCTGGAGATATACATGCCATCATATATCGTTCATCGGTAAATGCGCGAACAGAGGAAGAACAAGATGTCTGGTCTTATATCGAAAAAAAAAAAAAAAAAAAAAAAAAAGGGAATCCTAAGAAGAAACAACAACAGGAAACAAAAAGGGGTATAAAGAAAAGACGCCAGGTCTCTCTGTCCAAAACATCCAACCATATCCAACATCCGCCCAAATCCTTACGTCTTCCATAACCAACGCTGCGCCCAGAATATATCAAATTGAAAACCAAAACATATCTCTGTCGTCCACCTCTTGCTCATCGAATCATCCATCGTCCCTCCCCACCCCACCCATCATTCATAACTCATCCAAGGTAAATCCCGATCATAAACCGTCGTACAAGTCAAATACCCCAGCACACTCCCCCCCCCCCCACCACCACCACCACCACCACCACCTCCTCCTCCTCCTCCTCCCCCACCGCTATCCCCCTTGGTCAGATTCCCACTCCCCGAAATCTCCAATTCCAATCCACTCCCCATCAACGGCCTAACCACCTCCCTCGCCATCGCCTTGAGCTCCTCAATCCTCTTCTCAAACCGCCTTAGGTTGTCGCGGTTGTATAACTCGGGTGATAGTTTCAAAAAGCGCTTGCAGTCGTCGTGGGTGAGGTATTCCTTCGGCGAACCGCCCAACAGACGAAAAGTGCGGCCTAAAGTGGCGAGCGGGGTTGTTGAGAGGTGACTTGGTGTAGCGTTGGGTGCTGCTGCGTATGGGTCGCCGCGGGCGGAGTTGGAGTTGGAGTTGGAGCCTGAGGCGGAGCCGGAGCTGGAGCTGTTGTGGCGGGCCCTACTTCCCGGCGGGCCGTTGCCGCCGCTACGATGTCCGCCGCGGGTTCGTTCGGGGATGGCTGGTGGGTGTTTGGTGGAGGTATACTCGGCCGAAGGCGGCGGGGAGGTATTCTCGGCCAACCACTCCCTGAAAAAGGACACAGCTAGCCAATCGACGTAACCATTGCCCGGTCCTACCCTCTCCCCTGCTCTACCCGTTACGCCCAAGCGGAACAGTCGTGCTTCCACCCGCGAGACGACCTCTTCGAGCTCATCGACTTTATCCTCAATGATATCCACCACCGACTCGGGCATCGCTGCTCTTATACTCCTCTCGCCCGCGGGCCACTGGCCCACAACGTGAATCAGCGCCTCCTGGAAGATGACCTTGCTCCTTGCCAGATAGCCCAGCCGGAGATAGGAGATGGGGTATTTAGCTATCTGCCGCCACAACCGCGACTGGAACTGCAGCAAGTGGTGATCGACCCGCGGCCCGACGACCGCTAGCGCATCGTACTGGTCTGCTAGCTGCAGCAGAGACTTGCACTGCACGTAGGCGTCGGGCAAAGAAATGGGGTCGAGCGTGGGCGGGTAGTTGTACATGATGCGGAAGAGGTTGTCGTAGTCGCGGAGGAGGTCGAGGTCTGCTTGGGAGGGTTCTTCCCTTGCCGGGGGAGGGTTGTTGTGGTGATGGCGCTGGGAGGAGTGCGAGAGGCTGAGGTTGGCGACGGAGCGGAAGAAGGAGTTGGATTGGTGGGTGGATTTTTGGCTGTTGCTGCGGTGTCGGCTTCCTGAGGGCCCTGACCCTGAGCCGTTGCCGAAGATGGAGGATTGGGTTGGTGGTGGACCAGCGGGTGTAGGTATTGGTGGTGGGGAGGACTCTTCCTTTTGCACGAGCATGGGGATGTCGTTGTCGTCGGTGCCGGTGTCGAGTTCGTATCGCCATCGCTTTTTGGGGGTTGAGTCCTGCGTCGTCCTGGCTACTGTTCCTGTTTCTGCCACATTCCCGTTCCCACCCAGTGCCTTCGATGCGCTGCCCGGCGCGGGCAACTCTGGTACTCCTCCTCCTGAAACCGTCTGGGCGCGCGACCATTCCTGGCTGGTGCTGGCCTCGAAGAAACCCGAACACCTCGTCAAAATATGTCGATGCAGTAGGTACCGGTTCTCGAGTCCGCAGGGGACGCGCACGACGATCTCGACATCGCCGCTGTGGCTGAAGATGGGGAATTCGTTTTGCGGGACGAACGATGCGCCGCCGGCGTGGGAGCGGTTATATCTTCGGGTTCGTGACGAGACGTACGAGGTTGACGAGCTAAAGTTGTTGTTGTTGTTACTGCCGTGGTGACCATGGCCATGACCGTGGTGGCTGTAGCTGTCCCGGTGTGTTGCCCGCACGCCGGTGCCACCAGCGCCGCCCACGACCGAGGATGGTCCCCGTAACGCCAGTGTCGACACATCCCGGTCGCCGCCGCCAACCCCAAGTGAACCAACACCAAGGCCGGCAGCAGCAGCGCCGGGCCCGGACCCGTATTGCGCGACCATGGAATTTTTGTCGAGTTGCAATGCGGAGCGGAGCGTATCTGATGCGCTGTCCGTCGCCTGGCCCGATGGAGGGGAGATGCCGTGCGTCAGTGGATGCGCGCCAGTTGGAAGCGCTCTCGTTGGGTTGTGGACCCCTTTGACTGCAATGTTCCTTTTTGTTTCCTGAAATTCAGTTTCCTTCTTCTGTCTCTCCAGCAATGCAAAATCCAACTCTTCTTTTTTTTTTTTTTCCCCGACCCTCTTTCCCTAGGCTGGGCTGCCTCACTTTATTCCTTGTTGTCGTCGCCGTCTGCTTGGCTTGTGGTCGAAACGATGGATGGACAGCTGCTGCCGGGCCGCCGCCGGGGTGGTTGGTTCTTGATTAAGCTGAGGGGTCAATGCTGCGAAGTGCGGGCAGGAGGCTGGTCCGCCGCTGTTGAGGATGTGTGTGTGCGGTTGTACACGTTGCGATGATGCGTCAGTTCGTCTCGTCGTCTCGTGCTTTACAGAAAAGGCAAAAAACAAGAGGTTTAGAAAAGAGCTGCAGGGGCAAGAACAAGGACGGGAGGGAAGAATCAAAACGTTGCAGGGCAAATCGCCAGTCCAGTGAGTGTTCAGGTGAATCTTAGGCAGTAAAAACCAGCCCCACAATATTTGACTCTTGCTCTTCGAGATCTCTCAACGACAAGGGAAAGAAATGTCAGGGGCAGTTCAAGTAAAGTCTTTTCTTGGAAGACACCCCTGCGTTCCTAGAAAAACCTGAAAGCTTCTCTCAGTCTAGTTCCCTCACAACCGGGGCCACTAACAACTGAGCTTGCCAAGGCTTGTGACTTCGGTCGAGGCTGTGTCGGCTGTGTTCTTGAACCGTAGCGATCCGTAGATAAGTAGTCGAGGTTGTCGAACGGTAGAAGACGATGGCGATATCGCCACAGGGGAAATACCACCCACTAACTATTCGTTATTCGTAGCCCAAGTCGGAGTGGTGGTGGTGGTGGTGTGCCTCGCCAGTGCAGTTTGAGTCGCCAGGGGCCAACTGAAGCAATCAGAGTCGACGGATGGTTCGAAGTGGTGGTTGTCTTGTCTTGGTGGTGATGAGCTGAATGGTTTCGTTTCTTTCGACACTGACACTGACACCCTTTGCGCAGCGCAGTTGAAGTCGTAGCTTGAAGTTCTGAAGGGGAGTGGATTTGAAACTCGAAGTAAAGAGGTTCGCTTGCTGAGATGGATGCTTTAACAGGGTCAAATTATACAAATTAGAAAAATGTTCTGAATGAATGCTATGATGGCATGAGGTTGTTGGTGGACGCAGGAGACAAGTATACTGAGGAAAGGACCCAGGAAACAAACAAGGTTTCTATCCATAGAACCTCGCGAGGGCAGATCTTCACGCTTCCTTTTACCTCGAATTTGTTTTTTGTTGTTGTTGACATCCAAACGAAAACAGCAACACTGCAGCTCTCTCACTTCAGCCAATGCAAAGCACGTCTCAACGAGGCAGCCTGCAGCGCACCGCCATCGTTCGCAGGCATGGCGGCGCATGGCTGCCGACAACAATGTCGCGAGCTGTAGCTTTTCCTTTGAAAGGACAGGTTGGCCCGCACCGGGTTCGCGTTTTTCTTTATCTTGAAGCTTCGATAGGTTGGAGCCATTTCTTTATGGTCGAGGTCCATGGGAGGGTCCAACCATGTTAATGAAAGCAACTTGCCAGTGAAAAGTATACTGAAAAATAAATCCCCTTCCGGACCCCTCTATTTTTCTTCTGCGGGACTCGAGTCTTTTCTTTGTCGTTCCCCGGCCCAACTTGCTAACAATGAATGAGGTTCCCTCGGAGAACGAACGCATGGTTACCTGCACCATCCGAGTCCAGTCCAGTGGCTTATCATCCATCCCGTCCGATGCAACAACGCTTTACATACAGGTTTCCTTTGAGACAGCTTCATCCACACCCAAATCTTTTCTGCTTGCGGCCGAAACTGGAAGATCGAGTATCTTGAAAGAGAAGAGGATGTAAGGGAGGGATAAATGTTTGTCTTGTTCTGTGTATCTGAGGGGTTGGTAAGGATGCACAGGTCTCGGATTACGTACTAACTGAACCACCACCTAGTTTGCCCATGGGATAATAGTGCAGTAACTGCCCTGTCTACATGGTAAATCGGCTGGAGCTTTGACCCGGCCACAGAAAAGCACATCCATCTCCTCGCATCTCGTTGAGTGTTTTTTTTCCCTCCAAGCGAAGAATCAGAGCTTTGGAAGTTGATCTGATGAAATGAACAGCTGGGAGTTATGCATGGTGGTGATGGTCGCCGTCACGAGCGCCGACGGGCCGAACCTCATCGCGTGGTGCTTGTCTAAGCACTATCCGAGCACTGCACAAGAGAGATGAATCGCCTCCAAGGAGTCATTCATCCCATCTGTTACAAATATTGGTGATATTTCATCGTCTGCCATCGTACTGAGTTTTCACATCGGGACCGAATCGTTTTTCACGACGCGAGAGGCTGGTTGGATGGCACTGCCCATGACAACACCACTGACATCAACTGTGCATGCATCGCGCTCGCAAAGCAATTGAACTTCACTTGGCATTTTGAAGCTCTGATCCAAGAAGAAGCTCGAGCTTGGGATCCGCTCGCTTGTCTTATCGTACTCACCGCCTGGTCTTTCCGCCAAATAATTTCACTAGCTTCACTTTGCATAAACAACCAAGAAACCAATCACGACAACCTTGCTTGCTTGCTTGCTTAACGTTTGTTTGCTTGATCTTAACTTCATTTGTTTTGAATATCTATTCTTACAGATACAGTTCGCGTTGGCGTTGCGCCTTCGCTTATCTCGCCCGCTCATTCCAAGAAACCCCCAGAAAGTAACCCCGGATTTGCCGCCGAATCGTTTGTCGGGAACCAGAAAAAGAGTCGAACCGGAAACATCAAAAATGGAAAAGAATAACCTCGCAAACCGTTTGCGTAAAAGATAAAAATCACTGAAAGTCAGTTCTGATGAAAGATATTGATCAAAAGAATCGCAGAAAAATCGAATCGCTGGCAAGTCGTTGAGCCACGCATTGGCCATGCCGGTCGTGACCTCTTTTGTCGTTCGCCAATCAACGCCCGAAACCCATGTCGCCCAGTCCCCAGTAACGCCAACCAACCACAGAAAAACACCCCAAATCCAATATTGAAGAAAGAAGAACGCAATCATGTGACGCTCTAGCTCATGTCCATCTCGCTGGCAACATCAAAGATAGATGGGCCAGCGTTGGTGGGCCTGGTCGTTTGGGAGGCATCCATTGTGACAGGGCCATCGAAAACAGGCGGTGTTCCCTTGAGATTTTGAAGCATGCCATCGGCAGTCTTGCTGACAAGTCGCCCTTGACGAAGGTTCTCGGCGAATAGGAAGTACCCTTCGGTAGCCTCAACCAGATACGCCTGCAGGCCACGGCTTTCCAATAGGATCTTGGCATTGGTGACGGGGTAGTGGTTTTCGATGTAGCGCGCCCAACCACGAGCTGCGACTTGGATATTTTCGCCGATTCGGGCCCACCCGATGCCGAGATGGACGGTGAAGTCGTCAACAATTGGGCCGGCCAACGAATCCGATGAGGCGGTCATTGGGTTGCTTGTGTCGCGCGATGGGCTGCCGCCGCGACTGGTGGGATTGCTGTTGGAGGAGCGAACATCGAGCCGTTGCGATTTGTGGCTGCGCAGGGATGGTCTTTCTTGGGACATTTGCTGCTGCAAGCTGAGAGCCTCTTCGGACTTGCGCGCCGCTTCGAGGGCAGCCTTCTCGTCGACCCAGGTGCCGGATTGGCTGCTGGCATCTGCGACATATCCGCTTTTCTTTCTGATGAGGGTCATTCCGGGGCCGGTGACCCATTCGTCTTCCGACTCCTTAATGACGGGCTCAACAATCTTCTCAGGAGGATCGAGGTTGACGGCGGCTTCATCGCGCGAGCGTTTGCGGCCGGCCGCGGAGCAGTTGCGGAGGAGTTGCGGCCATGAGACGTGCTGGCTGAGCGAGGCTTGTTGGTCCAGGTAGGACTTGCCAAACGAGAAGTTGTGGGCGACCTGTGCTGGCATGGTGACGACGGGCGACGAGGCATAGTAGCGGTCGAAAGACGGCATGATGGGTGGTACCTGTTCAGCACTCGGTAAATGTGTAAGGCGAGGGCGTGTAAAGTCGCAGGTGATCCGACACTAGTCAGATCAGACGCGTGGTGATATGGATCTGAGTGTAGTAGACGACAGCGTCTAGAAGAAGGAATTGGCCGGAGGGTATCAATGTAGATGGCCAGAAGAGTAAGGATGAGGTGCCGTGATAGGGAGGTGAGGATTTGAACGTCCTACGAGGTAAGGTGTAAGTGATGGTATAAGCCAGAGTAAGGATGGTTGATAGACGAGCAGGCTGGAGGTGACCTGTAGTAGACGACGACGAGGAGGACGGGAGGGAGGTCTTGTATCGTTGGGAGCCTCGTGATCAGGAAGGGTGGTGGTGTTTGGTGGAGGAAGGTAGAGGTAGATATAAGTGAGAGTGGTGAGGAAGGAAAGAGAGGAAGAGGATGGGACGGAAGAAGAGGGAAGTGGTGGAGGAGGGTGTGTAGAAAAAAGAATGGAGCGAGAGAGGAACGGGGATCCGAGGACAATCAGATCACAGAAGTGGAAGAGATGGAAGAGGAAGTAGAAAAGTGAAGTAGCAGGTACTGTGTGAGGGATGGGGATGGATGGGGATGCAGGCGGCGAAATGTGGGAGACGGAGCAAAAAGAGAGGCAGAAGACGGGGACCTGCGAGACCTCAGACCCCAGCCCATCCTGGAGCGTTGAAGGTCGTGGACGTGGACCGTGGACCGTGGACCGTGGTCCATTGTGTGGAAGCGCAAATGTGTGTGGAAGCTGGAGGGCGCGCGAGGGTGTCTCTGTCTCTTCTCTGTGTGGATGGCACGAGAAAGGCAGAGAGAAAAGGCAATCGAGCTGACAGGCGCACAGCTGCCGGCTGGCACGGACGGGAGATTCAGAATGCCACTTGTCAGCATCTGCCAGTCTTGTGTCAATCCTTGCCGGCTATTGGCCAGGACGCCATGACCGACAGCAGCATGGCCGGCAGTGCAGGCCGCGGCAGCCAGTGCAGGTACAAAGGTACAAACTTGCTCAGGTACATCGCGCCAGGAACCGCCAAGCAACGCCAGGGTGCGGCAATCGCCTGAATGATCTCCAATTGGCTTTCGGAGGATAAAGCGGGCCATAGCCAGAGCAGGGCATCTCATTGGCTTGTTGGTTCTGGGGCAGAAGAAGCCGGGCCCGGGGCGGTTTTCTTGCGGAACATCTCATAGCTCCGAATCCGGTTAGACTGGGACCTGACCTGGAGACAATGTTAGGGCGGGCGGTTTGCCCCCTTGTCCATAAAAACAGAAAAGGGTGGCCGGCAACCCGCCTCGCTTTTTTTTGGAGGAGCCAAGCCCGCGTTGGCCGTCTCCACTCGGAACGCGACTCTTCTCAGAAATCCAAAATGTCACCGAGCCTGGTCCTGTGCCGCCGTTGAGAAGGAACCAAGATGGCTCGTGCACTGTCAGAGCCGTCTCGCTTTCTTCCCCGGTGAGGCCGGGCGGCAGATTCCATCAAACCGACTGAATTCCGTGTCCGGTGAATGGCTCCACTCCTTGCGGGCTTCCCCACTTTCGCACTTTCCGTTTTGCTTGCGGAAATCTTGCACCCCTGCGTCCGTTTTTCGACGCCCTCCAGCTGCATTTGCCCACCCCTTCCCGAAATGCAGTTCCCGGTCAGCTGACCACTTGCCTGCCGAGCAGACGCCATCTTCAGAGTTTGTTCGTGCACTATTCTCGCAGGTATCTTCGTACCCCAGACCGCCTGATAAGGTCCCCAATTGTGCAACACATAACCGAGTTGTGCAAGTTGTGTCGTGTCACCGAACCTGACTGAGAGCTCCCCCTCCCCCTCCCCTCGCTCCTCTCTGTCAGTCTGTCCATCCCTCCCATCTTCGTCCCTCCATCCTGTCCCCTCCCGCCAGATCTCATACGACTGGGCGGCTCGGCTCGACTTGACTCGAAACACACAGCCCTTTCCCGCAAATCATGTCCCAATCCATTCATTTATATCCATCACCCTCCATCACCAACCAGCCTCACTCGCGCGAGTGCACCGCCTTGGTTGCCCAATTTGCTTCACACGACGTAACAAAATGGAGACAGAACCCTGAAGAGCGAGCCATGTCAGGACTGCTGGCTCGACGATCACGCAGGTTGTGGAGTTTGCCATGATGATCCCTTATTAAATAAGTGTATTTTTATTGTATCCAGCAACGACAAACAATCTACCTAACAACGACACAGCTTCGGTTGAAAAGGCAGTTCCAACGACTGGCGGACTGTCCTGTGAGTCTCTTTGATAACAATGCCATCACCATGACCGCCAAGCCATTACCTCATTCTTCATCTTAGACCCCTAGACTTAAGTGCTGCATTCTATAAGCCAACAAGCTCAACTTCTTTCATCATACTAGAGCCACCAGAGTCTCTTCATCACATCTCATTTCACCCTCTTCAAGCTTCCCCTTCACAAATGCGCCAGCGGCGCCTCCTCCGGCTCATCAACCCCCTCCGCCCTGACATCAACAAACACAACCCCATCATCCGTATGATTCTCCGTCCCTCCATACAATCCCACCATCCCGGGCGTCCTCAGTCCCTGCGGACTTGGCTCTCTTCTGCCCCCATGTCTCAATCGCCTCTGCGCCCGACTAGTCGTCGGCGTCCTCTGCTCCTGCGAGAATGATGTCCGCCAACCGGCAGGAACCGTATACGCCCCTTGTCGGAGTAGTCGACTCTGATGCCTTGCTTCGGGCAAGTTCTGCGGTGTCCTAGGCTGCGAGGACGCGGGAAGGGAGTCATTATAGACCCGAAACGTTGCGGGGGTCCTAGCGGGAGTGGTAGCGGGCGGTCTGGGCGTCGTTACGGGCTGGCGAGATGGTGTCGTTGGGGATTCGATGACCGGTGCAGGGCGGGTGCTGCTGGTGCTGACGCTGGTGGGCGAGGCGGCAGCCGGGGTACGGGTTCTGCTGCTGGCAAGACGCTCTAAGCGTTCAGAGGGCGAGCTACCGTGACGGGGAAGAGTGGCAGTCATGCTTCTGGTAAAACGGACAAAGGCGGACGGGGTGTGCGAGGCTGAGGTGGTACGGGAGCCCGGGGTAGCATTCGGGGTCGTGCCCTGGCAATGACCCTTAGTCAAGCTGAACGGATATCCATAAAGTCATGGTATCTACTTACCTCACCGGGGCGAGATGCGGAGTCAGGTTTTGCTGCAGAGGAGGGAGTGGCCGTCCGGGTCCTGATGGTCAGATTCTGGAACGAGAGTTCGAATTGCTCGAAAGAACGGGCACCGCCTCTGTTACTACGGCGAGCAGACGACGTCTCAGTCCGTGGTGTCGTTTCCTGGCTCGCAGCAGCCGTCTGGCCAACCGAGCTTTGGGCTGGTGAACGAAGGCTGCTCCCAATTCTTGGGCCGGGCCTTGGCGTTCTAATAGGCAGCTGGCTTTGAGACGAGCTAGCTTGGGGCTGCTGGTCAACATCACGCTCATCTCCAGCACCATCAACAGACTGCTCGCAGTTACGCTGGTCACAGGAGGCATTGGGGCACGGCGGCCGGGCAGTGGGGATCAATTCGGTCTGCTCTTCAGGGAAGCGGGCTGGTAAAACGGGGAGCTGGACAGGTTGTTCTGCACTGTCATGATCGGGGATGTCTGTCTCCTCATCACTGTCGCTGTAGTCGGGCAACGATGGGGATGAGGCTACCGACGTAGCGTTTTCAGACGCGTGTGTACGAAAGGACCATTTTCTCTTGCTGCTGACCCGGCGGTAGCCCCTGCGACGGTCTTCGACTTCTTGCACCTCTGCCATTGTTAAGGCGAGGACGGTAGGTCGGAGACGTAGCATGATGGGTGGTGCTGGGTGTACCTGATGAGGTCGTTGTCGTCAAAGAAACAAAAAAGAGTACACAAATTTTGAAAGGAATCTACCTAGGTTGGAGGTTATGAGAAGGACGTTGAAGGCTCGTCTTTACTGGTCCAAACGTCATCTTGCCGTCCTGGACCTGTCCGGCTCTTTCCTGACAAGAAGTGTCACTGATAGTGTTTTGGGAAGTAAGCACGAAAGAAGTCAGTCGGCATGGTCCCGCGAACCGTCCTTCTCCATAAGGCAATCGCCAAGGGGACAAAGCTGAGGAAGGTCCTGACGACTTCCGGTCATTGTGACAAACGACCTAGCCATAGTCGTAGTAGCAAGAGAGCATTCAACAAGCCATTCATGTTCAAGACTCGACGGTTTCGCCCCCAAGCTCAAGCCTGGACGGAACATGAAGAACGTGGAAGCTGGAGGCCAAAACTGTTGTAGTGTAAGTCTATAAAAAACGAGAAGTTGCACGAGAACAGTCAGTCCATCCTTTGAGGTTTGTCAGCATCTCTACACGAGACGAGGGAGGCGGGGATATGGTACAGTAGAGTTGGCAAGTCTGCTAAGCAAACCACGCACTAACAATTCAGTATTGTGCATGTCGAAGCGGCAGCTAACGCAGGAGCTGGTAAAAAAGCACGGTTTCTTTAACATTTAGACTGAAGAGTCCAATGCTAATTTCGTACCGTGGCCGAAGCGTTGATTAAAAAAAGCAGTACCGAGATAACCGACAATCACCTTTTTCCATAACCTACCTTTCCAAGTGGCCGGTAACGTCTTCCTTGCATGTTTTCTGCGCATGAGCATCTCGCATCCCTTTTAGAAAGAAGAGGGTCGATGCTAAGAGTCGCCGGAGAGTGACGCCGGCAAGAGTGGATTTCCATTGGCGGAGCCGTCTGGCCGCCTGAAATAATAACCTCAAGACACTGTATTTGTCGTACCTCGCTAGCGGGAACCTACCACTTGAACTTGATTCGATTGATTCGACACTTTCAGTTGTTTCCCTCTTGCACTTGCAGCTGGACTGGCAGGAACCTGAAGAAACCCTCACCGACTTCTATCCCCGACCATCACCGGCGGTCCCAGACAGTCCCAGACACAGGCACACAAACGGTACGTACCGTGTATACCTAGAACTTTGGCTTTCATCCATCTTTAAAATCACCGCAACACGCACCGCACTGCCCGCACCGCAACCCGCAGTCGTGGCCTTGCATCAGCTTGGCCAGCGCAGAGAATAACCACCATCGCGGTCCCCCGTGCCGAACCTCCCCCCCTGCTCCCCGTTCGGTTACCCAGGAGGTTGATTGGAGCTTCCTCATCTCCTGGTCCATTGGATCACTCGTCGACCAGACTGCCACTGCCTCCTGTTCCAATGCCCAACACGCAACACCCGAACTGGTAATCTGACAAGCAGCGTTTTAGAATCCAACGCATTTCATCCTTCCAACATACAACATACATACCATCTCTTCAGCATCTCCTTACCCCGAGCCATCGACCGCTTCGATCGGACCGACAGTTGACCCTCCTCGCCCCTTCAGCCACGACTCTACACTCCACCAGCAGCTATATGCTTGATGCATAGCCCTGGTGGTTCATAGCTTGGTTTCCATACGACCGTCGCCATAGTACTGTACTCAGCCCATCCTTCGCTTGGCGGCGTCGCCCCTTAACAAAATGAACGGAGACTTCAGCCTGTCCCAAGCGCTTGGCGGCTTACGAATCGCCAACCTCGACGATGACGACTCGGTCAATTCGGCAGAGAACGAACAGACAACCCCCGATGTCTTGTTGAGTCATCAGGATACGACGACCAATGCTCCTCAGACGACTTCTCAGCCTGCACAGCCTCCTTCTCAGCGGACGCCGTTGGACCTAGAACGCCAGGTTACCCCTCAAGACCCCCCGCAGCTCCCGCAGCGCCCGCCCCATACATACGAATCCGCCGCCGCGATCCTCAAGAACGCCCAAGACAACCTCAACGCCCGCGGATATCCTCCGACTAGTCAACAGTTGCAAGCAGGAAATGGGAATCGGCCACCAAACTCGAGACCTAATACCGGAGGGGCACTACAGTCAATGGAGGTCGATCCGCAGCGGGGAGCATACCACGGACATGGACACGGGAATGCGTATGGGGACCTACGGAACGAGCTAAGGAACGAAATCACAACCGACACTTCCCGGAGTTCTTTATACGGTGTGCCGACTATTTCGAGGAGCGACTCTAGGCGTGCGCCCCCTGGTGCCCCTACACGAGAGCCGAGTCGATCATACCACCAAGGCCGGCCCGGTCCCGGTCCTCCCATGGGCGTCGATCCTAACGGCGCGTTGCCTCCTAGGAGGAGCTCGCGCGGGGTTGGAGGCGGATATTCTCAGATCCCGGGTATCCCTGTAGCCGCGCCGGGCACCTATACGTCAGAATCGCGGCTGGGAGAAGTACCACCCATGCTCTCCACCAGCAGCGAGGAATGGAAAGACAGGGGTGCGGCAGTCGGCGTTAGGAGAGAGGTGGATGCCGACGGGAGGGTGACGATGAAGCCGGTCAAGAAAGGAGTGCGCGACTTCACCTTTGGGAGGATATTGGGAGAGGGCTCCTATAGCACGGTTTACCTTGCGACCGATCGCCAAACCCTCAGAGAGTACGCCGTCAAGGTCCTAGAGAAGAAGCACATCATCAAGGAGAAGAAGATTAAATACGTCAACATCGAGAAGAACACCCTGAACCGACTTACGGAGCACCCCGGTATCGTCCGCTTGTATTACACGTTCCAGGACGAGACTTCTCTGTATTACGTCCTCGATCTATGTACTGGCGGAGAGCTGCTGGGCGTGCTTAAGAAGACGGGGACGTTCGACGTGGAATGCACAAGGTTCTATGGCGCTCAAATATTGGACGCTATCGACTACATGCATTCGAGAGGTGTTATCCACCGTGATCTGAAGCCCGAGAACGTGCTCCTGGACGAACAGATGCACGTCAAGATCACAGACTTTGGTACTGCCAAGCTACTGCGAGACCCTCGAGATCCCAGACCACCAGAGGAGACACCGGGGCAGAGTGGCGAGGATGACGAGCGAGCGGCATCGTTCGTCGGTACCGCTGAATACGTGAGCCCAGAGCTCCTTACGGAAAAGTCAGCCAGCACAGCTAGCGACATATGGGCCTTTGGGTGCATCGTTTACCAACTCCTCGCCGGTCGGCCGCCCTTTAAGGCAGGAACCGAGTATCTAACCTTCCAGAAGATCGTTAAACTCGAGTACGAATTCCCGCCCGGTTTCCCACCCGCGGCGCGTGACTTGGTGGAACGATGTCTCGTGCTGGATCCTGCTCAGCGCTTCACAGTCGAGCACATCAAGAAGCACGAGTTCTTTGCCGGACATCCGTTTGGCAAGGAGCTGTGGAGGATGAAGGCACCGCGGTTGAGGCCTTACGTGCCGGGATCCCAGGAGCAGCAACCGCAAATGATGCACTTGGGCGGAGGTGGGTCGAACTCGAATCATAATCACCCTATGCCCATGGGCAACCCAAGCTCAACAAGAGGCACCACCACTCAAGGGGGGCCGGCCAATAACAACGTCAACCGACCTCCTAGGATCATCACCGAACTACCGCCTCCTACGCAACTGGATCTTGACTGGTCACCCGTCCTGACAAAAAACAACGAGCGCATCCTCAAGCTGGGCGACCTGATGGTCGTGTCGTCGCCGATACCGCACAGCCCACACGGCAAGGAAGGCGGAGACGGGCATAAGAAGCTGGCTCGCTTCTTTGGCGGCAGCACTACCAAGAAGAGACAGCGTCTCGTCATGGTCACCTCGAGCGGCCGCATCGTGTTTGCACCGGCCGGCGGCGAGGAGAAGCGGGCGAAGCAGGAGATTTCGCTGCTGGCTTCGGATTGCACATGGAAAACACAAATCGACGCCAAGGGCCAGCCGGTTTGGTGTGTCGACACGGTGAGTAACTGCCAGCCCCCTCTACGGGATATTCATCAGGTGATATCGATATTGATGCTAATGTTCAAGGACACCCCAAATCCAGGGCGGCGTACACTACACCTTTGAAGAACCCAAGTCCTCGGAAAAACAACAAAAAGACAAATCCGACAAGTCATCAGAAGGAGCAGGAAGCGAAGGCGGCAACAGCAGCAAGTACACGGTAGACGAGTGGATCGAGTCGCTGGAGCGGGCCAAGGACCTGGCGCTTTCCCAAAACCTGGTAGGTTCCAACGACAACTTTGGAGACATATCCATGTCGTCCAGCCCGGCGAGTTCGATGGTGAATATCGGGGGAGGTGGGCATCATCATAATGGAAGGGGACATGGAAACTACAGTGGCGGAGAGGGAGGATACAGCATCAGTGATCGATCGGGCCGCAATCAGCTGACTAAGAGTCAGGCGAGCCTGGATGATAGCAGCAGTGTTAAGCGCCATCGGTTTAGTCGGAGGCAGTCGAAGAATGGGTTGGGGGCTGCTTTTTGAAGGTTGTTGTTGACCTTTGTTGGAAGAAGAGGTGGATGACGGCCAAGGTAGCGAAAGATGGAGAAGGTACGAAATTCTAATACTGTTCACACCTTGTACATGCAACAAAACAAAACATTGGATGAAAGGCATTGCGATTCGGCTGTTTTTTTTTGAGGACTGCGGAATGGCGGACAGCGTTCAGGGGCGTGCGGAGAGGCGGATGGGGAAATCAGTTTTTTTCAAAAAGATGGCCCCTGTTGGTGTTGAAGCCCAAGCTTGTCTGCCACAGTCACAGGTTGAACATTTTCTTGATCAGCGAAGAGAAACAGAGGGGAGATGGCATGGCATGGATAACGAACTGCATTCGCACAACAGCGTATATACACATGTGTTCTTTTTTTGCCTCTGCGGTTCTTTGCTTCTCCATCGGTTCAGTAATTCTTGACCCTTTTTTTTTCTGTTAAAGGGGTTTGTTTAGCTGCTTACAACTCTACAAGCGAAGCTTAACAACCATGGAAGGAAGCAGGCAGCAAGCTGGCAGAGGACGGAGGGGAAAAGCATACATACAACAAAAACAAAAGAGCACTGGGTGGAATTGGTGGAGGGTTTCATGGGGGCACACAAACGTACATATCTATGGTACATACAAGTAGCTTTTGTTACAGCTGCTAGTCTAGTATTACTACATTTTAATCATGCCTCTTTTGATAGCGCAGTCCTGACGAGTAGCGTTTTTAAGCCAAGTTTGCCCTTTTTTTCATACTATAATACAACACAGCAGAATCAGAATAAGTGGTATCTCTCAGGGGTGTCACATGACCTTAGCACTATGCCAAGACGTGACATGCCAGTCTCCCTGTGGATGCGGTACTTGTTGGATGTACCTTTTGGCCGCACGCACTGGACGCCTTAACAATTTCTGGCTCCACCCCCAACTCTGAACCTCCATCATTCAATCAATTGCTTGCTGGACTGCGACTGCGACAGCCCGCCCGCCCGCACGCACGCAGCTAAAGTAAGAACGAACGACGCGATCGACGCGCTTCCCTTGAACCAAGAACCCCCCGTATTCGAATGCGAAGCGATCCATACAACGAAAAACAGAAGCACCGAATCTGCGAAATAATACGAACACGTATTACAGAAAACTGGGAGAAGTGATAGCAAGTTGAATTTGGTATCACAGAAAACAGAAGACAAGACAGCAGAAGAGTCACAGACAGACAAGATGCAGCCCCAATACCGTGGATATGCACCAGGACCACATGCACAACAACCACCGGGTCACCATCAAGTTGGACTGCCGCAAGGACCGCCGCAACAACACACACAGGTCCCTTTGCCTCCGCAGGCAGCGGGTGGTCATCATCCAGGGCCGGGAGGACCGAGAGGAGGACAGCATCATGTCCCACAACCGAGGAGAGGGGGGATTGGTGAGTTTTTTTTCTTTTCTGTTCGTTGTTTTCATTTCGTCGTCAGTGTCATTTTGCCCTTTCCGGGGAAGAAGGGGAAAAGGTAAACATTGAGGATGGAAAGACGACATGATGCATTAAACGTGGGATAAACGTCAAGATCTCCGCTTTTTGCAGATTGCTCCACCGCGACTAGTTCCAAACGTCGGGGAACGGGGACCTGTCGATGGTTGACTCTCTTGGATGGGGGGGCGAGCGAGTGGGCGACGACTGGGTCCGGGTCCCGTCGTGTTGTGCCTGGACACTCACTTCAACAAGTTGTGGTCCCGCCCGCCGTCCTGTCGCGGGTCCCGCCCGAGCCTACCCCGTCGGCCGCGGTCGAACGAGAACGTGGTTTCGCGACGAGCTAAGGGAACGGAACGAAAGATTAGTTCGAGAGCGAAACATCCAACATACATGCTGCAAGCGAGAAACCCCACGCTCCTGCCTGCATCTTGAACACAAGGAAACATTGACAACAAACTTGTGTACCGCACTTCTTTGCCACTTTCTTTCTTGGATCACTGTTCCCAGTTGGATATTTTTTTACTCTACACCCAACCGACGACCCTTGGCTTGTCCGAACTCTGACCCTCCGTCCATCTCGCCGCCGGGCGCATTTTCCACAAATCTGGATCATATCACACATATACACATTTAACTAACCTCTCCGGTCTTTCTTCTCTCTTCACAGGGCCCATGATGTCGGCCGGTCCTGCTCACCACCAACTGCCCATGACCCAGGCGCAAATCCAACAAGAATCACACCGTCGCGAGGCCGTCAACCACCTGGCCAAGCTCCGGAGTCGCAAACCTACCGACAAGACCCTGCCCGATGGCGTCGAGGAGACTTTGGTCGGCGAGGGCGATGTCGCTATTGCTTACAAGAAGCTACGCGATTTCGAGCGGCGGCTGGATGCTACCATGAGTCGCAAGAGGTTGGATATTGTGGACTCGGTCAGCAGGAATGCAAAGGTGTGTACCTGTTCTTCAGGGACCAAAGCATGACTGACACTCAACAGCGGTACAAGACACTCCGCGTTTGGATCACCAACACCGTCGAAGACCAGTACTGGCAAAATAACAACTTCAACGTCGACAGCTTCGACTTCCCCTCCAACCTCGAATCCACATACCGCGTCAAGATCGAAGGCCGATTACTCGACGACGAAGACGAGACCACAAAGGATGAGGAGGATGGGGACAAGATGGATACAACCGAAGACAACGCCAAGACAGCAACAAAGTCTGGAGCGAAACCCGTCCCCGCTAAGCCCGGCCAGCGCTACCGCTTCTCGCACTTCTTCAAAGCCCTCACAGTCGACTTCGACCAGCCCACCGCCTCGGGCCGTCTCCCCGTCGACACCACCTCGATAGAATGGAAGAAACCCGAGCGCACGCCCGCCGGCTCCAACCTTCCCGCCTCGGCCGACTTCGACGAGCTGACCTTCAAGCGCCACGGGGACGAGAATGTTAACATCACCATCAACCTCTACCGCCACGAAGACCCGGAGCGCTACGAGCTCTCACCCGAGCTGTCGGACGTGATCGACATGAGCGAGGCCACGCGCCAGGAAGCCGTCGCCGGCTTGTTCGAGTACATTAAGCTGATGAAGCTGCAAGAAGACGACGAGAAGCGCAACTTTCGGTGCGACGAACTGCTACAGAAGTTGATCGGGAGAGAGTCGGGACACATTCCCCAGCTGAACGAATACGTCACCCCCCACTTGAGACCGTTGCCGCCCATCAAGCTGCCTTATACCATCCGTGTGGACCAGGAGTTCCATTCTGCGCTGGACGCTCCCAAACCGACAATCTACGACATCCGTGTCTCCGTCGACGACCCCCTGCGCTCGAAGCACTTGGTGCCCTTCATCCACAACCCCTCCTACGCTCAAACTCTCCGCGAAATCCATCAGCTGGACGAGTCCCTGGCAGTCCTCATCCAAGCCGTCGGCGACTCCAAGGCTAAACACACGTTCCTGACGTCTATGGCCACCGACCCCGTCGGCTTCGTCAAGAACTGGTTGTCGAGCCAGAAGCGGGATCTGGAGGTGATTATGGGCGAGGCGACGAGGGCCGGAGCGGCGGTGGAAGATCCGGTGGGAGATGAGTGGAGGAGGGGTGGGAAGGGGAGTGTTTGGGATACGAGCAATGCTAGGGAGAGTGTTAATGTGCTTTTGAGTAAGCAAGGTTTTGCTGTAGGGCATCGCTAGGCGCGGGACGGTGGGGACATGGAGATAAATAGGGGCAAGGATAAGGGGGATGAGAGGGGGGAATGAAAGAGGAAATGAGGTTAGAGCAGAAGCTGGATGGAGGAGGCTAGTTAGAATGGAAGAAGAAAAGGATGAGGAGGACGGGAAGAAGGGTGAGGGTGAGCAGAAGAAGAAGAAGAAGAAGAAGAAGGATGAGAAGAGTGAGAATAGGAATAGGAATACTACTAGGATGATTGAAAATGAACAACCAAACACCACCTTTGATCAAAAAAGGACCAAAAATTACATGTATACGTACCAGTGTTAGGAGTGCAGCAGAGGGAGAAAGTGGAGAACGTTGTCTCGTTACCTTCAGGTTCGTTCCCAGGGCAGTCAGTAGTAGTAGTCTTGGGACTTCTTAAAGTCGTCGGGTATGAGACGGAGACGGAGACGGGACGACGGAGCGGACAAGACAGAAGAGACAATGGAGGGAAAGGGAAAAAAGAGTAAGGGTAGCTTAGCTTAGCTTAGCTTAGCTTAGCCCCTGAGCGGCGGAAATGGCGTATGAAAGAAAGTAAGTAACAAAGCGATGTCGATACCTGGCTGCTGGGTCTTTATAAAGGTGTGGTTTGGTTCGGTTTGGTTTGGTTTGTTTGTGAGTGTAGAAAGAATAGTTCGGACGGACAGAATTGTCAGGTTAAGTAGCGCATCTATATTAGGTTTACGATCCAACAGTAGATACAAGTATGTATGTATGGTAGACAGTACAGAAGAGAGAAGTGGTTCGTTTTTATTTTTGGGAATGGGCTGTCCTGTCCGGTGATGTGATAGGTGATGTGCTCACCTTCTCGGGCACCTTCTCGGGGGGGCATAATTCGTGCTTTCAATGCAAGGGCCAAGGGTTGGTTGGTTCATCATCACGAACCATAGGTGGCTTAGGTTAGTACAGTCCAATACTGGTTTGTTTGTTAACTCGAGACCTCTGGTCAACCAACTTTCCTAGGCGTTTATATATCTAATTGATCCGTTTCGTCCCATAACCAAAAGCGTGATCTATCTTACTTTGCATATGCTTCTTTGGAAATTTGATATGCCATATTGAATCTTGTTGATGCCTTTCCGATCCGTAGGTACCTAGCCATTCATTTTATCTTTGTGAGGTTTAGGACAATTCGGGATGGATATCGTCCAATATACCAAGAGTACCAAGCTAACAAACAAACCAGCATTGGACTGTACATCTACTTATGGATTTTTGATGAATAGAATAGTGGGGTGGAGGTGAAGGAGATAGGTATTGTGCGAGCAAGTTGGTAAAACGGAGAAGGGTCATTGGGGTGATGACGAGTGACGGGGATTGAAGATTTTGCGTTGGGGGTACATACATACATACATACATACATAGTCTTTCTTGATGAGAGGACTAAACGGTGTTCGATTCAGCGGGTTGGTTGTTGGTTAGGACCTCACGGTCGTAAGAAGTCTTACTACCTGACGAGAAGGATGGGATGTTCATTTCAGAGGAGAAAAATGGACGCAACTAGAAATAGCGATGCGAACAACGAGGACGTGTGTACTAGTGACCGTGACTGAAAAGCGTAGAAGTACTCATCAATTGATTTGATTCCCAGGGTATATGCGTATCCAACTACCAACTTATCATATCGTACGTAGTACCTTGCTGCACCATACAAGCTTAACTCAACAACGAAACCACCAGACCCTGACCAAGAGGAACACAAACACCTATACACCAACACCTGTACATGATTGCAGCCAGCCAAAGATGCTTTCTGCTTTTGGACACCTTTTTCCCTATCCCCCTTGCAACGCCTTGCTCCCATGTTTCCTCGTTTGCTCAACAACCTATCCAACACAATATGTTCGACATCACACCCCGTTCAACACTCTGAAGAAGAACAGTGATCACCCCTCAGCGCTCTCCTCCCTAATATCCGAAAAGAAAACCCCCCTATCCCTATCCCCTTTGTCCCTCTCAGTCCACTCCCTTCCCCCTCTGAGGATACCAGACGTATTCCCCACTCCCGGTTCCGCGTAAACCCTCCTTAACTCCCGTTCCCTTGGACTCGCCAGTATGGCACTCGGCGTGCTTGTCCCCACCGACGTTGAAGGTGCCGTCGGTGGTCCCGAAAAAGGCGGATAACCTGAGAAAGGAGCGGAAGGGGGAGGAGCGGTGGATGGGCGGAAGAGGGATTTTCGGGCGTTGAAGCGCTCTTGTCTTTCTGGTCGTTCTGATCGTTCTGTTCTTTCTGATCTTTCTGGTCTTGAGCGGTCGTCTGGTAGGGTGGGTTGTGGTTGGTACCGAGGTTGGTGGTATTGGGATTGAGAAGCGAAAACAGTGTTCCCAGTGGCTTGAATAACAGGTTGACTCTGGGAATGCCCCAAAGGCGGCGCCCGCCTAACTCTACTAGGCGTGCTCATAAACCCCGGATCGTTGACATCCAAGTCTGGAAGGAACGACTCCTCCTCGTCGTCGTCAAAGTCCATGGGGCCTAGACCGAGGTTGCTAGCCTCTGCTGCGAGGGTCTGACTGGCCCGAAACGAACTGGAAGAGGGATTATTTCGGGCGTTGACGAGCCGAGCAGAAAGATTCGTCGGACGCATATCCGAGCTTCTTCCTGTTGGTTTCTCGAAGGGTGCTGAGACGATGGGTGTCTCCGGTATTGAAGCCGCGAGTCTACTGGCCGGTCGACTTGCTGTGCGACTTGCTGGGCGGGAGTAGGAAGTAACGGGAGGATCGGGGTTGGGGTGGTATGGTTGGTATCCCTTTGGTGCCTTTGGTGGTGGCGGAGCTGGTTGTTGGGCAGCTGATGGGGGAGCAGATCGGATAGGAAGCTGAACCGATTGTCGACTTGGTGCCGCCGCCGATGGCGGGGGGAAAAGAAACGCCGACCTATCCCTCTCCCTCTCACGCTCAGGTGGCATCTCCGAGTTAACAAACCACTGGCTAACACTATTGCCCAAGTTTGTCGCTGTCGTATCACTTCCCCCCCTTTCGCGATCTCGATACCGTCCCATATGCCTCACACTCCTCCTCGAACTCAACAACGTACTCATCCTGGGATCAAGCATACTAAACTCTCCCCCCATCCCCACCCCCATCTGTCGTTCTCTAACAGCCCCGGGATTAACAACCCCCCACCACCCCTCCAACACACCCACCGCCATCCGCCTCTCCTCCCTCTCCCTCAGCGCCTTCACCGCATTCCTCTTAGCAACCAAATGCAGCGCCTCATGCTCCCACCTCTGCAAACACCCCTTCATCGTCCCCACGGCTTCCCACTCCTCCGCATCCATCTCTGCCTCCCTCATCTCCGCCGCGCTATCCATCCAGTTCTCTAGATACCCCTCTAGCTCGGCGTCGGCGGCAACGTCCCTTATCTCTTGCGCCCGGCGGGAGATGGTAGTCCAGTAGGAGAGGGTTTCGTACAGGTCGGAGTGGTTGTGATCGAGGTGGAGGGCGTCAGCGTCTGCTGACAGGTCATCGGACTCTAGGAGGGCGTTGAACCAGGTACTTAGACAGGACTGGGCTAGGGAAATCTTGTAGGATCGGCGGAAGGAGCGTAAGGAGGTCATCATCCTTTCGCGACGGGCTTGTTCGGCTAAGAAAGGCCAGCGGTCGAGGACGGAGGCGATGGTGAAGCGTTTAGATTGCTTCGAGGCATTGCGGAGGTAGTAGGCATTGCGCGTGGTGGAAGAGACGAGGGCTTCGCGCCATCGGTCTAAGCACGGCTTGGTGGTGCGGTAGAGGCAGATCAGGTTGGCGTTGTGGCGGGGGGTGAAGATGGCGTTGGAGGCGTCCAACCAGGTTGAGAGACAGGAGGAGAGGAGGTGGTCGGAGTAGAGGTAGTCGGCTTCGGATTCGGAGCGTTGGCGGATGGAAAGGGAGGTCTGGGTGGCGGAGAGCCAGGTCGAGAGGACGGACTTTTTGGTGGTGGAGGCGGCGTGGTGCTGAAACAAGGCCAGACGCTGCTCGAGGAACCAGTGAGTCAAGGTGTCTTCGAGGGTTTCTTCGTCTTCGCGGATATTCCAGAGCTTGAGCTTCAGCTCCAGTTTCCAGGTGTCCACGGGATTGAGAAGCAACACAGCATCAGCCAGCAGACCATCCCGACGGGCGTACTCAGCTTCTTCCCGCCAATGCTCAAGACCGTTCCACTTCAGCGTACGCTCGTCAGCCGCGCGAAACTTCCCAAGTGTCCGCAACAACCGACTCTGCTCGTGCCAATCAGCCAGAACAATCTGACAATCCCGTGTAACCTTGTGCACTCTGCACTTATACCCCGTGTACCTGAGATCCTCCGCCTCTTCTTGCCAGATATTAACCGCCTCGTCGAGGAGTAGTCTCTCATCCAGGGCAATAGCCACCTCATGATCATCCTGCACCTCCTTCGTCCTCGTAGCCCAGTGCGTCAAACTCCCCTTCATCGCCTTAAACACGGCAAAATCATCCGCCACCCTCCCCTTTTGCAGCCGATACCAGTGCACCATCCCCTCCCTCATCGTCTCCCTCTCTTCCGTCTGCTCGGCCACACGTCGCCTAACTTCCTGATGAAGCGCCACGGCCGTCCACCTTTGCAGCGCATGAATAAGCACAAAGTTCCTCGCCTTTGTCTCATCCTGGATGTGCTGCGCTCTCCACGCATCAAACGCTCTCTTCCGTACCAGATGCCGTCTCGCAACCGCGGTACGGTCCAGCTCTTCCCTGGCCTGATCCTGCCAGAAGTTCAACATATTCTGTATCGTGAAAACCTCGTACACACGTGTAGCGCGCCGCTCCATCTTGTCGACCCACGCTTCGTACTCCGCTTCAGCCTCGCGGCGCTCGCGCTCTTGGACAACGGCGATCGTTTCCTCGAGCCATATCTCCAGGACTTCGGTCTTGATGTCTTGGTCGTCGATTTGCGTCGCGAGGGATAAGAGGCGGTGGTGGTCGCGCTGGTGGCGGTTGAAGTGATGGTGCCAGGATGCGAAGGCGTCGCGGAGGAGGGAGGCGTCGTCTTCGGTTCGGAACATGCGCACTTTTGCTTCTTGGTATTCGGGGTCGGCGTGGGGGCGAGTAAAGGCATGGTGGTGACTGCTAGGCAGAAGGGGCTCGTCTTTGGTGTTGACGGTGGTGTCGCTGGTGGCGCGATGGAGTTCGGAGAAATCGGTTCGAGGGGATTTGTGGTTGAGGTCGGTTTCGCCTACTGAGGAGAAGGACATGGGCCGTGGTCGTTCTTTGTTCGGTCTGGCGTATGCGGGCAAGGCGCCGGCGGCAACTTCGGCATTGTCGTAGTGATGCGGTGCTCCGAATACGCTAGGGATGTGTCTGACCTTGTCCAGCACGGGGTTATGCGGTTGGAAAGGTCGCCCGTCATGGCCGTAATCGCGTACCGAACTCTTGGACCTCGAAGCCAACTGGCTCCTCCTCCTCCCCTGGCCTTTCTCCGGTGATCTCCCCCTTTTGTTCAACAGCTGCTCCCTTTCTCGTTGCTGCTGTTCCCGTTGTTGCGCCAACGCTTCCAATCTCCTCGCCCTCTCGCCCCGAAGTGTATCCCCCGGCAAGGCATTCGGATCCGTAAAACTCGCCGACCGTGCCCTTGACCGGATCGGCAGTCCTCCAAGCGCAAGCGGTCTCGAGACGGAACTGTGTCTCCTCTTGGGCAGTAACCGTCGCAATTTGATATCTAGTTCGCCGCCCGTCACGTCCTCGTCATCACTAAAGACGGACGAAAACCCACCCAGCGACCTGCCCGACACCGAGACACTCCTCGACCTGGACCTAGCAGCCTTATCCCTTGCTGTCAACCCCCCTCTTGCCGCCCCAGCAGGCGAATGATCCCGACTCCCCACCGGACTACTAGGCACATACTCCAACATAATGCCCATAGCCGCTAAGACGGTTCGAAACCGATCCAGCAAACTTGTTTCCCCTCTCGCGTTCGGCGCGCATCGCTGGCCCCCAATCTTAAAGATAAGCCGCGAGATATGCGAGGGCGCCTGGTCCGGATCTGGGTAGCCATGGGCGGGGAGGATCTGTTCGGCGGCTTGGAAGAGCGCGTTCGTGGGGAGCCGGTCGCGCTCGGGCAGGGAGGGGAGGATGGACTCGGCGAGGGTGACGATTTCGTGGAGGAGCTCGATGTCTGTGGTTCTCGGTTGTTAGCTTGAGATTCTGGGAATAGATTATCTAGGGGAAGAAGCGGACCTTGATTAGAGTAGTACGGCTCATTATTGTGGGGGAAGCTGGTATTGGTGTTGGCGCTGGTGCCCGCATGGTTGGTATTGGTATTTCCGACTCCGAACTGCTGTCGCGAAGAGGATAACTGTGGTAACCCGGCCCTGCCATCTCGGTGGTGGAGGGGCAGAGAGGATGGAGGCGGCATGTGAGAGGGCGCCGCCACCTCGAAGGCATGACTATGGAAAGCCTAATCCCGACTCTGATCAAAGCACGGTGTGTGCGCCCTCGTATGACGATTGGATGGGCGTTGGTGATTTGTTGCGATTGTAGAATGTAGTAGTGGTATACAACACTAGGTTTGTTTATCGGTATCGACTGAGAAAGTCCGAGGTTTCGAAATCAAGGCAAATTGCGCAAAGCTGTAGAGGTCGCGAGGATGAACGAGGTCGACGGAGTTTTGAGGTTTGGCGATTGCGATTGCTGCTGCTGCTGCTTCTTCCCGTCGAAGCGGGAGACGTAGCGTGGAGTTGGTGATGCAAATGCAAAGAGATTGTGGAGGAGACAAACACGACAGAGATGCGACCGCTGGACGGGCAACCAACCACTGCAGTGCGGAGAATGCGATTGAGACGCGTGCGCAGAGCGTTGGTGAAAGGTGCAGGCTGTGATTATGCTAACAAAAGACGGTTTGGATTACCATTAAAACTGTTAGCCTGCTATCAATTAGACGCACTGCTTGGCGCGCTGCCGCTAAACCCTCGAGTTGGTAGTTCGCAGGCTAGCGCAGCGAGTTCCAGATGCAAGAGGACATCAGCCTTGCAGCCTCTTCAGCCTAATACTATTCTAGGTACCTGCCTAACAATTTCCCAAGACAAGAAAGACGCCAACGTCACGAGTGTCCTCCAAGAACGGGCAGCTCTCCTCGGTTTGGATCACAGTACAATCCGAAAGTTTTCAGTAAATTGTACAGCCCGCCACGTCGTCCAATATGCAGCCCCAAAAAGCGACCGTACGGCCCATCCAGCGCTTCGCTTCTGCCGTGTCCAAGTGCTCTGCCGAGGTTAGTTGCGTGAAGCCATTCCCATGTCTCCTCCCATAAACCACTAACTGACACTTGCACACACAGTCCGCCGCCTATGGCAAATGCATCCTAGCAGACTACAACTCCGTGCACAAAGACCTGTGCGCCAAAGAGTTCATGCGGTTGAAGGATTGTTACTCGGTATGTAGTCCACGTCCGTTGTTTACTTGTACCACGTCTTCAAAAAGGGGCAAGGCTGACATGATGCCATATGTGACACACAGCTGGCCGCCAAGAAAGCATAGCTTAGTCTAGGGAAACCACAAGACATCAAAGTACCAGAAATCTTTTTGAACATTTCATCATCCATCATTGCTAGTCTATCCCACACATGTTTTGACTCGCTTTAACTTTTCCCACATCTACTCCCCCACCCAGCCCTTTTTAACCCGGGCTTAAACTCAGAGCTTCAACAACCTCAACAAAAAGGTAGCCTTGCCAACTTCCTGCTCCTCCTCCATGATGATCCCCTCCTCCTGACCCTCCGGAATCTTCCCCTCCACATGCGTAACCTCATGCTTATCCAACGGCCTCCTGAGCGCCTTCTCAATCATGGCCATCTGGCTATCAAACACCTTCTCAATACCCGTCTCCTCCGGGTCCGCCGTGACCTTGTACTCCATCTTGATATCGTCCGTGGGCTGGAGACCGGCCTTCTTGCGCAGCCTCTGGACACGGTTGATGATTTCACGCGCGAGACCCTCCTCGGCCAGGCCGGGGTACATCTCGACGTCCAAGATGGTGAGCACGTCGTTGTCGGTATTGGTCTCGAGGTTCTTGGAGCTGTCGTCCTCCTTGAGACCGCGCTTGACGACCAGGTCGCCGGCCTCGAGAGTGATGCCGTCGACGACGAGCTTGCCGGTCTGCGTGTAGGCGTGGGCCTCGTCCGAGGTGACGGAGGGCAGAGCCTTCTTGACGCGACCCATGTCCTTCTTGAGTTTCTTGCCGAGAACGGGCCAGTCGGCGCTGACCGAGTACTGGACACCGTGCTTGGCTTCGTCCGAGGTGAGGACGAGGTCGCGCACGTTGAGCTCCTCGGTGATGTAACCCTTGAGAGACTCAATGTCGTCAAGGTACTGTTCGTCGTGGTGGATGACGACAAGAGTCTTGAGGGGCTGTTTGAGACCGACAGAACGCTTCTCGCGCGAGTAGCGGGCGAGCTCGATGACCTTCTGCATGCGCTGCACACGGCGCTCGACGTCGGGGTTGTAGAGCTCCTTGCGGACCTCGGGGAAGGGGAGGAAGTGCACGGAGCGGGGGTCCTTGGCCTGGAGCTCCTTGGGGATGTGGGGGAGGAGCTTGAGGTAGATGGTATCGGTAAGGAAGGGCGTGAAGGGGGCGAGGCCACGGCAGAGGGTGAAGAGGACCTCGAAGAGGGTGTTGAGAGCGTGGAGGGTGTCATTGAGGCCGTTCTCGCCCTTGAGACGCTTGCGGTTGAAGCGGATGTACCAGTTGGTGGTGTTGTCGATAAGCTCGAGGAGGCGAGGGACGACAGTGTAGAGGCGGTAGCCTAGGCACTTGTTAGTATGAAATCACTTTAGAGGCAAAGCTGCTTACCCTTCATCTCCTCGTTGACAAACTCAAGCAGAGACTGGCACGAAGCAAGAATCCACTTGTCCATCACGTTCTCGTTGGAAGACTCCATCTTGGGGTCAAACATGTAGTCAACGTTCTCAATCTTCTTGAGGAGAGCAACCTGGCCCTCAAAGAACTTGTACGAGTTCCAAAGAGGAAGGAGAACCTTGGCAACGACCTCCTTGACACCGGCCTCCTTGAAGCGGAGGGGCTCGGCACGCACAACAGGAGAGTTGATGAGGTACAGACGGAGGGCATCAGAACCATACTTGGTCATGACAAGAGTAGGGTCGGGATAGTTCTTGAGACGCTTGGACATCTTCTTGCCATCCTCAGCAAGAACGATACCGTTGACGACGCAGTTCTTGAAGGGAGAGACACCAAAGAGGTGAGTACCCAAGACAAGAAGGGTGTAGAACCAACCGCGGGTCTGGTCGAGACCCTCGGCAATGAAGTCACCGGGGAAGGACTTTTCGAACTTGTCGACGTTCTCGAAGGGGTAGTGCTGGGAGGCGTAGGGCATGGAACCAGACTCGAACCAGCAGTCAAAGACCTCCTCGGCACGCTTGAGGACACCCTTGCCCTGTTTGCTGGGGATGGTGATGTGGTCGATCTTGTCACGGTGGAGATCGGTGATGTCGCCCTCGTAGCCGGAAGCCTTCTTGAGCTCCTCGATGCTGCCAATGCAGACAATCTCCTCGCCGTCGTCGCTCATCCACAGGGGGATGGGAGTACCCCAGTACCTGTTACGGGAGACGTTCCAGTCGCGGGCGTTGGCGATCCAGCTGGCGAAACGCTTCTCCTTGACGAAGGAGGGGACCCAGTGGGAGCCCTCAATGTTTTTCAACATCTGGGGGATGATGTCGGGGATGCGGATGAACCACGAGGGGACGGCCTTGTAGATGAGGGGCGTGTCGGAGCGGTAGCACATGGGGTACGAGTGCTTGATCTGGGACTCGACAACGAGCTTGCCCGAGTTCTTGAGGTGCTTGATGATGTGCTTGTCGGCCTCCTTGACGTGCATGCCGGCGAAATCGGAGACACGGTCAGTGTAGTGACCAGTCTCGTTGACTGGGTCGGGAGGAGGGCGCTTCTCGGTGATGACACCGGCCTCGACTGCCACGTTGTAATCGTCCTCACCGAAGGCGGGGGCCTGGTGGACGATACCGGTACCGCTGTCGTCGGTGACGTAGGTAGCGTTGAGGACCCTGAAGGCAACGTCCTTGTACTCGTCGTAGAAGTAGTTGAAAGGGGGCTCGTACTTCCAGCCGAGCATGTCCTTGCCCTTGATCTTCTCGAGCACCTTGAACTTGGCCTTCTTGGGGTCCTTGTAGAGGGTCGTCAGGAGCTTCTCGAGGAGGATGTAGTTCTTTCCCGTCTTCTCATCGGCGATCTTGATGTACTCGAACTCGGGGTGGCAGGCCAGGCCGGTGTGGGAGGGGAGGGTCCATGGCGTGGTGGTCCAGGCAAGGAGGCAGGTGTTGGGGTCCTCGATCAAGGGGAAGGCGACAACGACGGCGGGATCGGTGACGTCCTGGTAGTTCTGGTTGGCCTCGAAGTTGGAGAGGGCGGTGGTGAGCGCAGTCGAGTAGGGCATGACGCGGTAGCCGCGGTAGACCTGGCCCTTGTCGAACAGCTGCTTGAACACCCACCACTCGGACTCCATGAAGGTCGGGTCCATGGTCTTGTAGTCGTTGTCAAAGTCGATCCAGCGACCGAGACGCTCGATGGTGTGGCGCCACTCCTCGCGATACCTCATGACGATGGAACGGCACTCCTTGTTGTAGTTCTCGAGGCCCATCTCCATGACAGCGGCCTTGCCCGAGATGCCCAGCTTCTTGTCGATCTCGTGCTCGATGGGCAGGCCGTGGGTGTCCCAGCCGAAGCGGCGCTCGACGTGGAAGCCCTTCATGGACCAGTATCGGGGGATGATGTCCTTGATGGTCGACGCCAGCAAGTGGCCGTAGTGGGGGAGGCCGGTCGCGAAGGGAGGGCCATCGTAGAAGGTGTAGAGAGGGTTGCCCTTGGACAGCTCGACCTGGGTCTCAAAGGCCTTGATCTCGCGCCATCTCTGGATGGTGTTCTCCTCTTCCTTGGGGAAATCGATCGACATGGTGGGCGGACGCGTTGAGAGTGGCCTGCGCGAGATATCCCAGTGTTAGTTTGTTTTGGTGGTGATGATTTCTCTGGTGTTGAGACCTTTTTTTTTGAAGAGTCGCAAAAGGGTGTAGGGACCGTTCCTAAGACGACTACCTGACTCACCTCTGTGTACGTTCCGGTCGCCGCGATGGTGGAAGAAAATGGCAGAGTGTGACTCGTTTTGAGAAAGTCAACCTCGGATTCCAGAACAATGCGACCGGCCGCTGCGGATTGGTGGGGGTTTGCAGGGTTGGTGTTGCTGAGATCATAAAGACTTCTTTACCCCCATAAACCTGGTGTGAGTTTGAGTACTCACTAACGCCTGTACATGCTGCTGATGAGCTTAACAATTTCCACTGGCCAGACCCCTGGACGGTCCTTCAGTGGACTCCCCCGTTGTCGGCAAACAAACCGAGTCGCACCTTGTTGACCACTCTTGGAGCCAGGTTCCGCCCGCTTCGTTGTCGTGACAATTCACGGAAAGTCAACACTTGGACAACACACATACGGGACTCTCGACACCATTCTGACTTCCACGATACCTAGAGTCAACATGTCATTCCTCTTTGGGAGAGCAAGGACAAGAACCAACGTCAGCGATCTGCCCCGACAAGCCCGCGAACATGTCGTCAAACTCGATCAGGGTCCCCAGGGCGCCGCAAAGGTGGAGGAGCTGGCCAAAGTGCTATCACAAATGAAACAGTTACTACAAGGGACACATGGTATTATTCAAATCCATATGCCCACCGGTTCTATTAGTAACCCTGTCTACAACAGAACAAGAAGCCTCCCCCGAACAACACTACCAATTGGTCACGGGCATGATCGAAGAAGACCTTCTCTACCTCCTCGCCATCAACCTCTACCGCCTCCCCTTCGATTCCCGCAAAGACACCCAAGTCATCTTCTCGTACGTCTTCCGCTTCCGCCCGCCCAACGCGCCCGCCCGCGCCGAACCGCTTGCCCTCGCCTACGTGGTGGAAAGACGTCCGCAGGTCCTGATCGAGCTATGCAAGGGGTATGACCACAAGGAAAGCGCACAACACGCGGGGACGGTTCTGAAAGAGCTCATCAAGAGCAGCGAGGCGGCCACGGCCGTGATTTTGCACGACGACGGCGACGAACCGGGGTCGAGTGCGAGGGGGGTCGGTGCGATTGACAGGAACAGGAAGCAGAGCGGGAATGGGATATTTTGGTCCTTCTTTGAGTGGATTGATAGGGGCTCGTTTGAAGTTGCGGCTGATGCGTTTACCACTTTCCGGGTGTGTTTTCTGTCTCCCCTCTCTTTCCAACCCTCAGCCTTTCGGCATTCACTAACAAGGAAATGCTGCTGCAGGAACTCCTAACAAAACACAAAGACCTAATCCCGCACTACCTCCAAACAAACTTCGACCTCTTCTTCTCCAAATACAACTCCATCCTAATCCAATCCACCTCGTACGTCACCAAACGGCAGTCCATCAAACTCCTCGGCGAGATCCTTCTCGACCGATCAAACTACAACGTCATGACCGCCTACGTCGACCGGGGCGAGCACCTCAAGATCTGCATGAATCTTCTTAGGGACGACCGGAAGATGGTCCAGTACGAGGGGTTCCATGTGTTCAAGGTGTTTGTGGCCAACCCGCACAAGTCGGTGCCGGTGCAAAAGATACTGTTGATGAATAGGGAGAAACTGTTGCACTTTTTGAGCCACTTTTTGGAGGATAGGACAGATGATGAGCAGTTTATTGACGAGAGGGAGTTTTTGATTAAGCAGATTAGGAATATGCCGCCTACGCCGGTGGTGCCGCAGCGGTAGCTGGTGTACTAATGTTGCGACTTACGAGTAGAGGGTTAGAGTTAAGGAGGTGTAGATGGTTTGGGAATGGCACAGCGGGCGTTTTTCCTCTTTTTTCTTCTTCTCGGTTGTATGGGCGATGGGATGGAATCGGAACTGGCATGGACGGGCTGGATGGCATGACGGAACATGAGTAAAGTAAAGTAGGTAATCACTAGTAGATAACGACTTGATGAAGATCAAAGCATCATAATCCTAGCCTCATTCCGCCCGTTGTTGTTCCTTGCTCCGGACACTGCAATCAGCTGGACGAGTTTCGCTGCCGAAACAAACCTTTACACCAGCAAGACGGCAAGGAACACAACCGACAAGGACACTGTGAAATAAGATGTCATATTGACAGGGCGATTAGTGTAAAATGGTGGTTTGCTATTCTTTTGAAACTGTTAGTGTAAGAATACTTAATAAAAGCAGAAGCCATCCGGATAATCTCCAACCGGTCCGGTTCAAGTTTGCTTCCGTTGCTGAGGCGTATTCAATCCGAAGCGTAAACCTTTGGACCAATGTATCCAAATCCAAATCCACCAAATCCAAGAGATGACCGAGCAAGTTGCCCGCCATTGCTAGGTCTCCAAGCCATCACCAGTGGTCCTCACAATCTCCACCAGTCCGGTTGCTCCCGTTGCTAAGGCGTATTCAGAAGCGTTTACCTCCGCCAGTGTGTCCAAAACCTAAAAAGCAAACCCATAACTTCCCGAGCAAGTTTTAAGCCTCTACTTCTATCTACTTGTAACAACCGCATTTCAAGCTGTATCGTCGAAAGAATAGGGGAGATATGCACGATGACGACCTTTACGGCTGGTAGTCCAATCTCGTGTTCCTCAAGGTCGCAGCAAAGAAGTTGCAGAAGGAGCCGTGGCTGAACAAAACCAGACCCAAGAAGACTAGGGAGTAAGAGACCAAGCAAGCTTTTCCTCACTCTCAACCCTTTTTCTCCCGACAGCGTTGTCAGTCGTCGATCCAGCATTTGCGCTTCTAGCATGACTGGAAGGATAGTTGACACCCCGCCCAATGTCTTTCGTAATAGAAGTGACGACGAGGAGGAAGATCGCCTGTAAGAGGATGGTTCTGCTCTTTTTTCATACCACCGCACTTCGTTCGCCTGCTACATGTGTTAAGTGTGGGCACAAGACCTGTGGGCTCTGCAAAGGCCAGGCTTATACTGGTACAAATTGTCTTGAAGATCCAACCGCGCAAGAGGTGCTTGATATGGCGGAGAGAGAAGGATGGAGGAGATGCCACCCGTGGGAGGTCGTCTTCTGGGAGAAGTTTGGAAACAAATTGTTACTTGACGACGGTGAAGTTTTGGCGCTCACTACTTCGATTCCACTCAGAAAGACCCGGGTCCGGAATCTCTAGGATGAGTATCGGGAACTCTAGGATAAGCTCCTCTTTGTCTGGACTGTCATCCCGATTTGTATGTTGCCAGGTTGTTACGAGAATGGGAACGGAATGTAATATTGCGAACATCCATTCAAAGATCCCTTCTCAAGCCGACGAAACACTTCATCCCGAGGACAGAGTTGATAAGTAAACTTCCATTTAATCATGTAGATTGGATATAGCACCGTTGCTGATGCACGAGATACGTTCTTGGATGAAAATAGAGAAAGTAAGACGTATATTCCATGTGCAAGTATCAAATACTTCGCCCACGTAGATTAGACCAAGTCGGTGGTTTCAATGGTGAACCAAACCTTCAAAACACCTAGAGGTATTCCGTCGCCAACTTAATACATCGACAACCTCAATACATGGCCAGCTATGGCAGCAAACATTGAGTTTCAAGCTACGAAGAGAAGCGTGACAACCTATATATAGATAAGAGAAAGAACACAATCAGACGGATGAATTCAATGCAAACACTAAGCTAGTAACAATGGGAGGACAGAAATTTACAGCCGACAACGACCCACTTCATTGTCAGATCAGAGGGTGCGCGAAGCCAAAAAAGGGTGCGTGAGGACATTAGGTACGGGGCGGTAAGTCAAGCTCTTAACTATATCTAAGCCATGCCCATAGATCCTACCTCGCCGGGTATGAGGTATCCTGTAAGCAAGGCCTCTCCAAACCTAGAACTTTCAGTGACCGTTCCGCACAAGCGGCGCAGTTTGTCCATTCCAGGGAGCGTCCCTGCGGCCATATCCTGGCGATCACAGTCCGAATTGACCTGGTGGATGGATTGACGTGTTGTAACTCTCATCCCGAAGCTTTCTGTGTACTTCGCCGAGAGCCTCGAGAAGCTTTGGGGTAAGTATCCTCCGGTTTCCTTGATTTGGGGATTATTTTCCGGCGCTCTGAGGGTATCGGGCTTTCTTGGGGGGTTCGGCAACCTTATAGTGCGTATTGGTCCCGAGAATGGGATCTAACGCGGCGGCTTGACCGTTAGCCGGGCTTGGTGATGAGGCTCAGTGGTACTCGGCAAGACAAACCATGGATACATGGTAGGAAATGCAAAAAGAAAGCAGTGAGACGAAAATGGACCGCGGACACTTTGCTGCAATATGCAGGAGGGCCGTTGATGCTGTACACCCAACACTTGACGGATTGCAATAACCGCTGAAGTGAAGGATGCAAACATTGTGACAAATGGCTTTCAAACAAGAGAGCAAACAGCAAGCTAGTAACACTACATAGCTTTGTGGTCAAAGCCGGGGCTGCCCGGGTCTTTGTCGGCGATAGCCAAATTTCTCCAGCTCCTTTTTATGCCGCTCGATGAGGTGATCATCATCTGTCAACTGCTACAAATCTACCAATTTAGCAACCGGCTTGTGAACGTTGAGGTGAGGGCCAGGTTCACTTACTTTTAAGTGTGGCACGGCGTTGTTTTGTGCTTTCATGGCGTGAAAAGGCATTGCGTCTCTACACTGGCTCTGGCCACATCCAAGACCAGGTTCCTAGGCGGCACCACGTCCGTCGAGCTCGTCTGGGGGGTGTCGATGATGTAGGCGATAACGGTGGGGAAGGACGAGGCGAGCGACTCGAGAAGGATCTGGCCCGACTTCTTATTAATAATAATATAAATCATATATTTAAAATAGATTATAGAAATATTTTTATAATTATTTGTATTATTTTTATTAAACGTAGCCGAATAATATAATTTAAGAAAACTATTGAATAATTCTTTAATTTTTAATTTTAATATTTAATTATAATTATCTAATAATCTAATAAATTAAATCCTTTTGATAATAATATCTAGAATATTAAATATAATTTTATTTACTATTTAAGTATTTTCGAGAATTTAATTAATAAATTTATTATCTTCGGGTGTTAAAATTATAGAAGAAATATTAAAACTCTTATATTTTTTAATTTTCTTAAAATATTTGGGAACCTTATTGAAATAAGAGAAATATATCTAATATAGTTATAATTAAATTTATTATAATAAATATAGTAAATAACCTTTTTAATTACTTTTAAAATTTAAAAAGAATTAGAATTCTTATTATAAGATTCAAACACTTTATTATTATTCTATTTATTAATAAAAAGAATATTATTATAATTAGAATCTTTACGGTTAGATTTCTTTAATAAAGACGAAACTAGTATTTTTAAAGTATAAACTTTAAAATCCTTTTTAAATTTTTAAATTATAGAGAAAAATTAATATTTAAACTCTTATTCCAAATTAAATAAAATTTAAAATATAAAGATTTAAAGAGGTAATTTGATTTCCTTAGCTTTTAATTTATTCATTATTATTTTAATTTTATTTAAATATATTTCCATATCTTATTAAAAAATAAAGGTAAAATATTCCTTAATAATGAAAATCTCAGAAATTTAACCTTTAAAACTATATAAATCCTTTAAATTCTATTAAATTAAAAGCACTAAGGCTTTATATTATTTATAATAAAAAGGACCGTCCTATATTATTAATTATAATTCAACGAGGGCGCTTTTATTATTTTTGGTTTTTTTTAATCATCCTTTTTAAATTTCTATAAAGGTAGAATAAACTTGAATTCTTATAACCTAAAGATTATAATTTTTAATACCCTTAAATTAAAGAAGCTTATTAATGACGAAGCTAATTATATTAAATTATTTATATATATATATATATATATAAATATTCGAATAAATATATAATTATTTATTATAATCTTAATCTTTATTATATAAAAAGAATTTATATATATAATTTATAAGAATTATAAAACGAAAGTTTTAAAAATAATTATTATTAATATTAATAATACGGGAGTAATAAGGTATGTGAAAATATTATATTATAAAGAGTAATACCCTCTAAAAAAGTTAATAAGAACGACTATTTCGAAATAAAATTAATATATCCTATAATAATCGTTATTTTATTAGGTATATCCGAACCCGGTAAGTAATTATTTTTTTGGGAGGGGTAGGTCTATAACCTTTACTACTAAAAATCTATATAAATATATCGGTCCGGTATTGATTAACGAAAGTAATTCTAAAAAATATTTTTATAAATTTAAAAACTTAATTATGTATATTTATATATTTATATAAATAATAATATACCTTTTAAAAGAAAACGCAATTAGAAACTCTATATTTTTATTAAAAATAAATAAATATAAAAATTAGAATATTTATTAAAAGGTTATCTTTTTAAACGCTCTTATATATATTTTCTATATATATATATATTAGAAATCTTTTAAGGAATATATTTAAATAAAGAAAAGAAAATAAATCGCTAATAATCTTTAAGCTTTAAGTAACTATATAGAAATATAGAGCTTTATTTATACGAATTCGTATTAAGTACCTTATAAGGGAATTTAAATTAGTTTAGAACATTACAATTAATTACTTCCAATATATGCTAATTAATTTTAATTATACTCCCGGGAAAGTTATATTTAAATATAGTAAGAAGTTGCCTATTTTTTAATATAATTATGAAATATTAATTACTTATTAAATAACTTGTATAATATTTTAAAACCCTACTATATATTACTTTCTTATAATAATTCGCGTACGTATTAACTTCCGCCCTTATATGAAATTTATTTTTCAAGTATATATAAATAAATTTTCCCGCAATAATATTCTAAAAGGCTTAGAGGAATGATTTAGCGTTATAATAAGTACTTTAATGCTAGGCCGTTTTCTTAAGACTTTAGAAATTATATTTTAAAAGGGACTAAAGATTTTTTTTATTAGTAAATTTTGTAAATAAATTATTTTAATTTATTTCGAATTACCAGTAAGTGATAAAGAATTATTAATTTCATTTTTAAACCATAGTTTTACGTTTTTTTTATATAATTTATACACGTTATAAAAACGGTTGAATATCTTTCGAAAATATACGTTTCAAAGTCTTTAAGAGAAATTTAATAAAGTATGTGCTATTTTTAATGGAATAAAGGATTCGGACCAAATTTATTTTATTTAGAAATTAAATAAATGGGAATTATAATATTATCTTGCGAAGTTTTTCGATTTTTATTTACTTCGGGAATTATTTTTTTCCTATTTTAAAGATTATTTCCTATACGTAGTATAAAAGAAATTAAACCTTTTATAACGTTCTAAGGGCGGGTAGATTATATTTAATTGAAATTATATATGGTATATTAATATTTATTTAAAATTGCATAAGTCTAATATTAAAATATATATAACTATTAATATATATTTATATTATGCCCTATAGTTTTATGTTAGTATTTCTATAAGCATAACGAAGTTTATATTTTATTAATAAATAGAGATTATTAGGAAGTATATGTTTATATTGATATAAATATAATTTAGTTGCGGGAATAAAATTAATATAGTAATAAATAAACTTTATGATATTGTAATCGGGAGTAAAATTCAGTGGATTTTAAAATTCTAACGGATAGCCTTAAATTTAGTCGTCGTTTTTAAACTGCGTACTAGTAAAGAAAACCTTCCTACCAGATATAATATAGTAAAAAATGATTGAGTATAATTAATATATAATTTAGAATAACCGTTTAATATATAAAATATTTTCCTCCGAAGAAAAAGTATTAATAATTAATGTATTAAAAGTTAATAGAAGTAATTATACGATAACCAAATGCTTTTTTAGATGGTAAATCTCTTCCGATTGTATATAATCGGCTTTAATTTAATATTAATAGGATTATGTTAAAAAATTAAATTTACAAACGCGTAGGCGTTTATTAAAGTTCAAAATTATATAGTATTACTATATACCTTTATACCCCGGATTCGAACCGAATTCTCGGACTTTATAAAATATTAATATTAATATATTATCCGGCCTTAATGTAATCGCCGTTATATTGTATTTAAAAGATTAATAATTTTATATTATAAATATAATAAGGTTAAAACTTTTAATTACTGGTATAAAATAAATTAGGGGTAGTATATATATTTAAAGAATAATATTCGGTAAGATAATTTTAAATTCGACCGATATTTACCCTAAGAAATAATAGAATTGTACGCTTTAATTATAGAAAGTTTTGTCTTATACGTTTGAAATATGTAAAACTAATTATTCTAATAATAATATAATTACCTTCGGAATTAATTAAGGGAATATGAGTTAGTACCGAAAATTCCGGCCGTATATTTTATAAATTTATTAATAAATAATTTTAATAAGGTAAAGAAATTAGTTAAATAAAGGGGAGGAGATATAAATAGGATAATAGAAGTATTTGTCACAGGATCTGGTGACATTGGTTTATAGTGTACATTACGAGTTCTGCCTAGCAAGCAGAATATCGTCCTATCTTTTGTAGGTTTGGCTCACTAGGTATATGTACCCTAGCCTATTATAGTATGTTCTGCTTAACGGTGGGGAGGTTAGGGGTTTAATTCCCCGCAGCGGATATATCGAAGGCCGGTTTTTAAGTGCGCGACCACACAGTGGGAAGATAGCGACACGGAAAAAAAACATTGCTAACGGAGCCGATATGTCCCAGATCCCCCATTGGAACCATTGGTTCAGGTAGTGCTATAAGCCATCGCATTGCGATAAAAAATCCTCCGCGGACAATGTCCGCCTCCGCTTGGGTTGGACGGAGCCTTATCTTGAAGCTTCTCAGCTTTGCTTTAAGGGGAGGTAGTGTCACAGGATCTGGTAACATTGGTTTATAGTGTGCATTACGAGTTCTGCTTAGCAAGCAGAACATCGTCCTATCTTTTATAAGTTTGGCTCACTAGGCATATGCACCCTGGCCTATCATAGTATTAGAGGGCGGAATTAATAGAATCGAAGGTAATAATAAATATTAGCGCGATTAATACCGAGATTAGAGATAATTAAATACTTTTAAAATTAATTAACGGTTAATATTATAAAAGATATTATCGATGTATAAATAAATTAAAATAATAGTATTACTTAATTAATAATAAAGAGTATTTATATATTTATATTATTTAAGTATAAATAAAATTCTTATAATATAAAAGTAAAAGGTTTGCGTTTATATATATTAATATTCCCGTTATAAAGAAAATATATTAATAAAATTTTATAAAGATTACCAATTTATATTTGCGAAGATTGGAATATATAAATTAGAAAAGAAAAAAAGAATATTAAAAGGAAAAAAAAGGTTTGAACGTAATTCGAATTTGGAAGTTTAATAATATATTTTTTTTTACATATACCGCTCAATTACTAAATTCTTAGGTTTTATATTCTATTTAAGTATATATATAGTTTATATTTAATTATTATAGTTTGTTAAATTCTATTCTAAAAATTTAAATTTTATAATATAAGTAAATAGAAAGAATAATATTCTTGACGATTTTAACACTTTATTTATATTCTAGTATATTTAATACGGATATTATAAAGTAGCGAATAATATAAGGTTTAAATAAATATAGAATATTAATTCTATTATTACTATAAAGATCGTTTATAAATAAAAAGAGAAAATTAATATTTTAAAGGTTTACTGTTTATAATTACGAATTGAAAGTA